GTTTGTATATATATATTTAAAGTTGAACCCCATGAACTCCGATTTGGAACAGAGTCTGTTTGAAGAAAGAGATAAATGAAATTAGGGTGTGTGTGTCACCATTTTTAATTTCTCTCAAGCTGGTTTGACACGCTTTGCATGGGAGTTCAGTCCAAAACTGGGCCCCCTAAGGGGGCCAGTTCAGAATTGGCTCCATTTGGGATTTGGGGGTATAGGTTATATGCCCTTCGAAGAGTAGGTGTTCCCAAGGGATGCCAATCAACTCTGGGAGGTGGGCTATATTAAAATGAGGGTCCCTGAGTACATGACCCAGGTCACTCAATCCTGGTCAAAGAGACATTAATTTCCATATCACCTGTCTTGACAATAGGGAGGAATCAACATTCTCCCAGACCTGTCTGGGCAACATAACAAGCAGGAATAGACCTATTTAGATTAGATCTTAATGTCCTTCTGAAGAAGGACTAAACTTTAAAAGAAAGGGGGATGGAGAAACTCTGGGTCTCCAAGATAATGATTACTAAGAAAAATCATTTTTCACAATATACACACATATTTGTGTCTAATGGTAGCCATGGGGGTGGGGGGAGGGGAGAGAAGAAAAAAAGGAAAAAAAGAAATTTACATGATAACTGTATTATATATTTAAAAGGAATAGCAAGTTGTAATATATAGATTATATGCAAAAATAGATTTGCAATTTCATGTGCAATCATCTTTTTAATTACACTATGTTATGGAAATGCTTGTTTTATTCCGTAAATCAAAAATTAAATTTAAAAAAGATGGTGGGACTTGTCCCCCCCCCAAGACGGCATGCTTTCTTGGCAGCCATAAGCCCCCTCCTCTCTGGGATCCCCGGGTTTCCCTGGCCTTTCTCTGTCCCTTTAAAGCTTCCACCACCACCCCAGCCCTGCCCCCCTTCCCAGCGCTCTCCCTGGTTTATGGCTGATGCTAGGATGTTTGACTGGAGGTTGATGAGAAGAGCCAGGCCTCAGAGAGATGCCAGGCAGTGCCTCCCTCCTCCCTTGAATGTGGGGGAGGAGGAAATCCTTCAATCCATAAAAAATCCTGGGCTCCAGACTCCCTCTCTGCGAGGAAGGCAGCCCATGTAATAGATGGACGCCTGATGTTGGAGTCAAAGGATTTGGGTTCAAATCTCACCTCTATCATTTGCTACCTTTGTGACCTTGGGCTACTCCCCTCCTCTCCCCTGGGTCTTAAGTTCCTCATCTGTAAAAATGGCAGAGCTGGATTCAAGGACTCTTCAGGCCCCCTCCAGACCTGGGATCCTCAGAGGCCCTTTGGCCTTGGGGGTCAGTGGAGGGCACAAAAAGATCTGCCAGTTCAAAGTGTGACTGTAGCTGATAAGAAGGATTTGGGACGCTGGGCCCTTCCCCCTCCCTCAGGCTGTTTGGCCCTGTCCCAGGCAGAGGAGGAAGACAGGGATCTGTCTTATCTAGGGCCCCCAGACTGACAGAGCTATTTCCCAGCAGTGAGCTTTTGCTGCCTAGATTAGCCGCCCCCTCTCTGAAGCCTTTCCTAACCTGACTATGATAAACCCTGTCCTTTCCAGAGTTCTCCTAAGCGCCAAGGGACAGAATGTCCAGGAAAGTCCTTTGAAGACATAGATGGAAAAGGAGTGTGATGGGGAGTCAGAGGGCCTGGGTTCAAATCCTGACTTTGCCATTTATCACCTAAGTGATTTCAGGCAAGTCACCTTTACCTCCATGGGCCTCAGTTTCCTCGTGGAAAATGAAGGGACTGGGTAGATGCTAGCCCCGGGTCATCCTAGCTGCCTATTCCATTGCATTGAATTCAGTAAACATCTGTTAAGCACCTACTGTGCGCAGGACCTGTGAGTTCACTGATGTAAGGAATTCCAGGAGAGTAGCAAGTATCATCTCTGACTTACTGTGTGTGTGGCCTTAGACAAATCAATCACTTCTCTTCTTGGGGCTGCTGTATCAGTAAAGTGAAAAGGGTGGGCAGGTGTTCTCCAAGGTCCCTTTGAGCTCTGGACCTGGTACCAGGATAAGAGCTGACATTTACATGGGGAGACCTTCTGTTCCCTCTGACCCTTTCGACAACCTCATGAGGCAAATCTTACTGATATTCTTGTTACACAAATGAGAAAACCAAGTTCGTGGAGCCAAGATGGCAGAGTAAAAGCAGTAACTTGCTTGAGCTCTCCCCCAAAGCCCTCCAAACACCTGTAAAAAAACGGCTCTAAACAAATTCTAAAGCAGCCTAACCGACAAAAAGACCTAGAGAAAACCAAGATGAGACTAGCCCAGGCTCACATGGCTCGTCTGAGGTGGGATGTCAACCCAGGGCTTCCTGACTCCAATCAGTTCCTATGGGTTTGACTTGTATCACTGACCCAGAAAAGTCTCTAGGAGGAGCTAGCTGCTCCCTCTTCTCCCTTCTCCCCAGCTCATCTCTCCAGGGCTCAGCAGGGATTTAACCACTAGGTAGAGCCTAGGTGCCTAGGAGGATGGACCTGGCCTCACCTGTAATAGGCTATTTAGAAATGAATAGAATAAGCAGTCTCCTCCAGGGCTAAGGTTTGCTCAGGCCCTGCTATGGACTCTGGAATCTGTGGATTGGCTCTGGGTTCTCTCCCTGGCTGGAGACTCCATCAAAGGATAATAATAACAGGTTGTTGTGAGGATCAAATGAGATAATATTTGTAAAAGTACTTAGCATACTGCCTGGCACACAGTGGGTACATTATAAATACTTATTCCCTTCCCCCCTCCTTTCCCCTATCTTGGCCATTAGCACCTTCCTGTAACTTATGGCTTTAGCACCTAGTTCTTAACCTCAATTCTGGGGACGGAAAAAAATTCTTAATTGTGTTTCGATATAACTGGCTTCTTTGTAAGTGTGCGTATTTTATTTTATGCTTTTAAAAGTAATTCTGAGACTGGGTCCGTAGATTTCAGCAGGCTGCTAAAGGGGTCCTGACAGCAGGTTAAGAACCCCTGCCTTGGACAGTTGCCTGGGGCAATCTGCCCAGAGTCCTCAGTCTAGAAACGTTGGAGGCTGGGCTTGAACCCAGGCTTTCCCAGCTCTGAGGCTGGCTCCGTCTTTATTCTGGGAAAGAGGCATAATAAAACAATGCAATCTTATTAGAGGAGAGCATTTACAAGGCTTGTGAAGCCTGAAGGCAGTGTGTGTGCTGGGGTTGGGGGGGCAAACATAGTTGTTCCTAAATTCAATCTGTTTGCTCACAGACTCCCAGAGCTGGAAGGGATTGTGAAGACGATTCATTTCAAACCACCTAATTTTACAGATGAGGAAACCCAGGCCCAAAGAGCCTTGTGTGTGCTCAAGGGCACACAAGGCAAGTCATATCAACAGGCCAAGTCTCCAGGCTGGTGAGAAAGGACAGTGGAACTGGGTCTTGAGAGGAGGCAGATGGAGGAGCTGGTTGGGGGGAAGCTGGTTCCCAGGAGTCTGGGCCAGGTAGAGATCAATTAATCAATGAAGGAGCATTTAATAAATGTCTCTTGGCACTGTGAGCCTGATACTGTGCTGACATTTGGGATGAGTTCGCAGTGGCACAAGGTGAGAATGCTTTCTGGGGTTGTTTTGGAAAGCATCCTCTCCCTGTTTGGAGGGTGGAGGTGGATGGAGGAGTGCTCCAACTCCTCACCCCCCTAAAAGGGCCAAGGAGGGTAGCTGCTGACCAGGTTAGTAAGGTGGAGGGTAGGTTGGCATGCCTGGGCAGTGGGGACAGGAAGATGGAGACCCTCCCTCATATACACACGGATAACACTACCCACACACATGCAGACACAGGTGCACAAAGGTGCCACGAGTACCGACAGGCACGCACTTGACACGAAGACTTGGATATGCTGACAACAGTTACACATATGTACAGGGACAACAGGCACGCACACATATATACACAGGGGCACCAGAGAGAGATTCAAGTAATCTTTTTTTTTTGAGGCAATGGGGTTAAGTGACTTGCCCAGGGTCACACAGCTAGTCAAATAACCTTTTTTAAAAAAAATCTTTATTCCAAGAACGACTCCACGGGAGGGGGAGAAGGAGGGAGATCTGGGCGACTAAAAAAAAAAAGATGCCAATAAAATGCCTTTTTTAAAAAAGGACCGACACACAGACCCACGGAGACAAACACGCGGACGCCAGAGCCGGATACCCACCCGTAAACACGCCACCGGCCCCTCCGCCCATCGCACACTAGGCACGAGTCAATTACCCCCCTCAGAGGCGGGGCTGGAGGCTCGAGCCGGTCTAGCCTCGCTCTAGGGGCGGGGCCTGAAAGGATGGGCGGGGCCTGGTTCCTCAAGGGTCCTACCAGGGCGGGGCACCCGCTCGCTCGACCCCCTCCCACTCCCACCCCTCGCCGGAGGCTCCGCCCCCCACGTGACTCCGCCGCCGCTCGGGACTGGCCCCAGCGACAGTTGCCCGGGTGACGGCAGAGCGGCCTGGCCCGGCTCAGAGCGCCCCGTGATCCGCGGCCCCCGGCGTCCCGACATCCCCAGCGCGCTCCCGACCACTGCGGGCCAGGTAAGCGGCCTCCCCACAGCCCCCAAGGCCCCGCTCCGCCGCCCGGGCCGTCCCCCGGCGACAGCCTCGGGCCGCCGCGTGGGCTCCGAGACGCCCTGCCGGGTGGGCCCGGAGAGGCTACGCCCCTTCCCATGACGTCGCCCCTTGGCCCCGCCCACTCCCCTTTCTTCTCTCCCCCCCCCCAATTCTCCCCACTGTTCCCGCCCGGGACCCTCCCCCTCTCCTGTGCCCCCACTTCTCCTCAGCCCTTTCCTTGGACCCCCCCATCTTGGGCCCCGTGCCCCTCCCCCTCTCCTGGGCCCCCCCTTCTCCTCAGCCCCTCCCTTGGACCCCCTCTTCTGGGCCCCCTCTTCTCAGCCCCTCCCCTGGACCTCCCCTCTGGGCCCCTGCCCCTCCCCATCTCCTGGGCCCCCCACTTCTCCTCAGCCCCTCCCTTGGACCCTCCCTTCGTAGGCCCCTCCCCCTCTCCTGGGCCTCCTCTTCTCCTCAGCCCCTCCCTCTGTACTCCTCCCCGCTTGGGGAGCAGGCTCCTGCCCCATCAGAGGAGGGGGAGTCCTGGGGCCTCTTAGACCTGGGGGTCAGGGCCTTGGATGGGGAGAATCCATGCCTTGGTTTTCACTCCCGTCTTCCATCAGTAACAGTAAACCCAGGTTTTGAACAGAGAGTCGTGGGGGTCCAGGACCCGGCCCCCACTTCCCAGGCTCCCCTTCTCTCTCTTTGCAGAGGAGCCGCCTCAGGTGCAGGGACTGCTTCATTTTTGTCTTTTTGTGCTCAGGGTCTGGTAGGTGCTTCCTTTATGCTTGTCCATTGATTGTCGGCTGGGGGGCTTCTGCCTTCATTCACTCATTCACTCATTCATTCACTCATTCATTCATTCTGCCTGTATCTCTCCATCCCCTTCCCTCCACCATCCTGCACTGAGAAGATGCAGGAGTGGACAGACCCTGGTTCCCATCCTGGGGGGGGAGGGGCTGGGGCTGGGGGCCGCAGGTGAACCCATAACTCTGGTGCCCCTGGGAGTTCAGAGGACAGAGCTCCCTGCTGGTGGGTCAGAGAAGAGGGGGCTTCTGAGAACGCCTAGCCATGGGCCACTTGGAGGAGGGAGCAGATGCAGGGACCCGGGGATGCTCGGGTGCTCAGAATGGTGAGTGCTTGCATTCTGAGCCTGGAGTGACAGGGTCAGAGATGGGCAGATGTCAAAGTATTCTGTAAAAGTGGCTTGTGATTATTGTGACAGTCCAAGGGAAACGCAGTGAGGGCCTCAACCACCCTGGAGACAGTGGGAGTAGGAAGAAAGGCTGCAGTGAGATCAGTGCCCTGCAGTGGAACCCCTCTACAGGTCTTCCAGACATGGTTGTTGTCTTTCCCGTGAGACGGCAGGGGCTGTTTGTTTGGAGAAGTCAGAGGCAGGTTCAGAAACAGCTGCAGTTCTCAAATTGGCCTCAAGGGTTGTAGGAAGCACCCAAGTCAGGTGGCAGCCACAGGATTAATTCTCCGTCTGGGGCTGCAGTGCCTGGGCACAGGCTTGGTTACCAGGGGCCTCTTCCATCCTCTCCCCCACCTCTCAAGTACTGAGGACCCTGAGGCACAGAGCACGTGAGATCCCGGGGGACAGGAGGGAGATTAGTAATCCAGGTCTGGGCTGGGGGGTGCTCTGAGGAAGCAGCTGAAAGTGTGAGATCTGTACTCAGAAGGGACCTCAGGATTAGAGAGGGAGAGAGATTTGGGAAGCATCAGCACAGGTTCAGGTTGGGTCCAATGGGCCGATCCCCCCCTCCACTCGCTGCTGAAATGTGGCTCAGAGTTAGCGACCTGCAGTCATGAGTGCTGCTTGTTTTTCTTCCTGCTCATCTTCTTCACCGTTTCTACTCCATTTGCCCATCTGTGTTAGCAACTGTCCTCTTCTCCCTGTTTCTGCTGTCTCTGGGATTGTCTCTAACCATTCCCTCCTTCTTCACCTCCTTTACTGGTCCATTGTTCTCTTCCTTCCCTAAGTGTGAGTGATTTTTAAGGCTCTATCCTAGACACTTTCCTTTTCTCTTTATGAGGAGCTTGTGCTCAACCCTCATCTCTTTCCAGAAGGCTCCACAATCTACACATTCAATCTCAGCCTCAGACGCATCTCTACTTGGATGTCCCATTGGCACTCCCAATTCAACATGTTCAAAATAATGGGACCCTGGGCCTGTAATTAGGAGGTTGTTGTTGAGTTGTGTCCGACTCTCCGTGACCCCATTTGAGGTTTTCTTGGCAAAGATACAGGAGTGGTTTGCCATTTCCTTCTCTAGTTCATTTGACAGATGAGGAAACTGAGGCAAATAGGGTTAACTGACTTGCCTGGGGTCACACAGCTAGTAAGTGTCTACGGCCACATTTAAACTCAGGAAGATAGGTCTTCCTGACCTCAGGCCCAGAATTCTGTCCACTGTGGCACCACCTAGCTGCTTCAGTAGTTAGGAGGACCTGGGTTCAAATCCCACTTCAGATGGGTAGAAGTGGGGGTTGGGGAGGATTGGATTTTGTGGCTTAGAAGGTCCCTTCCAGCTCTAAATCTGTGATTTGTGACCACTCTAAAGTGGTAAGCACTGGTCAGTAGAAGTTGGGTGAGTTGAATTTCTTGAATTATCTTTCTTCAGAATTGATCTGGAAAAAAAACAGCAAAAGTAGAATGTGGCTTTAAAATCTATGCTGTGGAAAAAATAAGTTATGTGTACCTAAAAAAAAAAGAAGTCCCCCCCAAGTAATAATAACGGGTTTTGGGTAGGGGAAAAACGGATTCAATTTCATTTTTCTCGTTAGAGGTTTAAACTGAGCCACCCCAACAAGGAATGAGATATGAACCAGCAGACACATAGACTCATAAAAGTCTTAGATTTAGAAGAGGCCTTAGAGGGCAGGAAGTTCAACCACCTCATTTTTCCATTGGGAAAACCGAGGCCCACACAGGAACAATGACTTTCATTAAGTCACAAGGAAGGAGGGCTAGAACCCAAGACTTGTGATTCTTCCCAGGTTATGCTTAACATCACCAAGCAGGGAGTTTGGCATCTAGCAGGGATGGTGGCCCTGGGGCAGTGAGCTGGTCAGCCCATGTTGGGAAGGTGAAAGAAGACTCATCTCAATTTGCAGCCCTTACAGTTTCACAGGTGGCTGAAGTGAAATGATCGACAACATGTTTTTTGTTTTATAGGTATTTCTGTTATGAGACCATCAGTGGGTGTTCAAAATGGGAGATATTCTAGCATCTGAAGCTGAATTGCTTGGACTGGTGAAAGAGGTAGACATTCACTTATTGGTTCATTCCATAAGCATTTTGGAGGGGTAGGAAGGAGGTGGGGAAACAGCAGGGATGATGGGAGATTGGGGCAGCCTCACAGAGGAGGTGCGAAAGGGGCTGGGACCCCAAATGATAGAAAAACCATGGAGGGGCTTTTCAAATTAGTCAATTCTTTTTTTTCTCTCTCTTTTTTATTTTTTCAAATTATTCATTTCTTTAGTTGAATCCCTTGGGATAGAAGCCAATAAGTTGTTCCTTTTCACTAACTTTATTACAGAATTTGCAGAATTTCATTCACTCTAGAGGTCTGAGCCATAGCCCAGTGTCATGGATAGAAGGCTGGCTTTGGCATGCAGAATGCCTGGGTTCAAGTCCAGTCTCTGACACACACTGGCCAGCTGTGTGGTCCTGGACAAGTTGCTCGGCCTCTCAGTATCCCCCAGGCCCCACTGCAGCTTGTCTGTCTGCATCAGTAGAGGGAGTTTCTATATTGGGAATGCTCTCTACCAGTGAAATTACAGGTTTGGCCACCTCCCTTCCTATCCTCAAAACCAGAGGCAAACCTCCCTAACTAATGTAGTTAGAGGCTTCCCTAAAAACATCCCATTAGGGAAAATATCTCAGGATTGGGCATTTGGTGGCATGGGAGTGAAGTTAAGAATGTGAGACACATTCCTAAGTGACCCAAACAGAGATGAAAAAACCTCTGAATTAGGCCTTTAGAAACTGTGCTGTCCTCATCGCTTTAGAGATATGGAGCTGGAAAGGCCTGCAAAGCCATTGAATCTGACTCCCTCAGCTAGGGAAACTGAGGACCGAGGAGATTCAGGGAAGAAAGGGCCACAGAGGTCATCTGGTCTGACCCTTTCGTTTTATAGCTGAGGACCCTGCTGACCAAAGGTTAAGTGATTGAGACCAGGTTGGGAGAGGCCACTCTATGTCCATGTCTGCCCTCGGCCATCCTGGATTGTCCCAAACAGTAAAGGTCTTCCCTAGGGCCAACTGCTCTCTGCTGTCTACCCCGAAGGTGTCTGGGAGGATTTGTATCAATTTTACATTGGACTTTACTCCCTTGTAATGACCCAGAGATCAATGGGAAAGACTCAGGGCAGGTCTGCCTTACCAGCTCTGACTTGTGGGGGCTAACCAGCATCAAGGACCCATGGGGGCAGAGGGGAAGGTGGGCATGAGAATGAGAGCCCCAGGGTGCTACCAGCTCCACCGAGTAGGAAGAGAAGCCCTCCACTGTGTGAGGCAGCAACTCTAGGGGGAGTTTACAGAAAACCCGTTATTCACATTGTGTTGGAAGGTATGGATGGGCCTCAGTCTGCCCGAGGAGCCAGGGGAGCCGTAGCAAGGTCACAGATCCACCAAGGTATTAAAGGATTGAAGTCAGCGGCCGCAAGTGTAGAAGCAGCGCATTTGGGGTTGTTTCACTGGCTTTAGGCTTTTGACGTCCGTGACTGCTCAATGGGCCCAGCACCATGGGAGGCTTCTCAGGACCCTGCCTTTACGAAGCTTCCATCCCGCTTGAGGAGACAGCTGGGGAGCCGGGCTCTGCAAACAGGGCAGGGAGAGGAAGGTGGCTTGGTAGATGCACACTCTGAGTGGGAGCCCCCTGGGCTTCTGGTCACCTGCCCAGGGCTTTCCCTGGAGCTCCAGGCCTTCCCTCTGGCTGCATCCCCGGGCTGCACCCCGAGGCTGCCTTCTGTCCTCCCAGGTCAGGCAAGCCCTGTGCCGTGCCAGGCACTAGAGCCACGTCCTTTCTTTTTGACAGTATTTAGACTTTGCTGAATTTGAAGACACCGTGAAGATATTTTTAAAGGAGTGCAGAAGTAAAGGGAAACCATTGTGCAAAACCCCATCTGGCTCTTTGAGAGACTCGAAAACGCTGATTATCCAGGTAACGCCTCTCTTGCCTTTCACCGGGTAGATAGTCAGGCTGCCCCTGACATCTTGAAAATGCCAGGCTCCTGGGCGAGCATGTGGGCAGGGGGACTGGAGTCTTTTTTTTTCTGAAGGCATTTAAAAAACTGGCTTCATGTCATTTCATCTCCATCCCTTTGCATCCTGCTAGGAGACCCCTGGCATTTGGCCTCTTATGTATTTATGGGAAGAGAGAGCTGAAAGGCAAAGCAGATCCTGCAGCCTGCCCAGTGCACTACAGTCTTCACCTGAATAAGAGACTTGCAGGGACAGTGGACAGCAGATCTTAAGTAGCCAAAGCTCCCTCCACTGTGTGGCCCTGGGCAAGTCACCTGACCCTCTGGGGACTCCGTTTCCTTATCTGTGAAATGGGGATGACATCTGTAGTACTTAACCCACAGAAAGCCCTTTGTATTCTGCCAAGTATTATGTGAGGCCATGGGATTATTTTATTCCTAAATAAAGTACCTACACCTCAAGGAGTAGAGTGAGTCACCCAGGGCCAGTGGTCACTCTATAGGAGTGGGGGCACCTGCTTCATCTGGCATGGGCTTTTATTTGTTCCTTCTTTAGTGGCATGAGCTTGGTTGGGTCAGTTGTTGAGAGCAATGGACCATGTTTTCTGTGTGTTTGATGCCCTGAAAGCAAGGGGGTGGTTGGGGAGAGATGCTTTTTGTTACTTCAGCTGAAGGGAGGGGCACAGAGGCTGCTGCCAGCCCAATCGAACCAGTGCCCCCCTCCCCTCCTCTCTCTTTGCCTGGTGTGTCTGGCCAGCTTCCTGGGGAGCCCTGCTTATGGTCCGGGGAGGTAAGTTTGGCCAGAGCCCACCCCACCCCTCCAGGGCATGCTGTTAGTACCAGGAGGTGACTGATGAGAAAAGAAGTGACCAGGGCCACCCCATCCCTCAGTGTGAGAGAGGTGAGGGGCAGCCCCTCCTGCCAGGAGAGCGGAGGTGTCAGCTCAGGCAGCTCCTTCAAGGCCTTCTACAAGGCTGCAGCCTCTGCTCCCTTCCCGCCAGCTCATCTTAGGGTCAGGCTTTTTAGGTGCCCAGTATATCACCAAGGCAGCATGATCTGCTCTTGGTTCTTTCCTGTTCTTCCACCCTCTGATGCCTCATCACGGCACAGGTGAGGGGGGCTCTCAGGCTGGTCATTCGCTGTTGGTTGTCCTGGCACCATCGGAGTGAGGATCACAGAGCCTCAGCTCTGAGCTGGTCAGGGCTGTGCTAAGTCACGGAGGATTCTGCTCTTCCTGGCCAAAGAGGGGGTGACTCTCACTCATGGCATCCCAAAGTTAGGAGGATTCCCCTCGCTCCCTCACGTTCTTCTGGCACAGGCCCTGTGGTATAGTGGGCTTCTTAGGGCGATGAGCACTTTGAGCGGTGGCTTCTGTGCTGACGAAGTTTTTCAAGTAGATTTGACTTCTCCCCCACAGAAAGATCTAATTACTGCGTTTGATAATGGGGACCAGAAAGGCTTCTTTGATTTGTGGGAGGAGCACATCCCACCCTCTGTCCGAGAAGGAGAGACTCTGGCCCAGAAGCTGGAGTTCTATCTCCACATCCACTTTGCCATCTTCCCACTGAAGCGCATCTCTGGAAAACCGGTAGGTTTCAGCGTTGGCCTTGGGACCCATCACAGGCTCCTTTCGGGTCAGGGCTCTTCATCCCTTTTTCTCAGAGGTGGGAGCGATGTTATTGGCCGTGTTCTTCTGTCTTCGGGATTGGAGCTTCCAGGGTATAAAAAAGCTGGAAAGGGCATTTCCATCCCCTTGGATGAATATTAAATATTAGCAACAGTGATTTCTAGAATTAAAGGTACAGTATTATCTTAAATTAGCTCATTTCAAAAATTTGGTATAATAAAGAATAAATTTAATAGATCCCTTAAATACAGTCCAGAGTATTGGCAGTTCTATCTAAAGGGGCAGAAGTAGGTGGGCTATAGGGCAGAGGGTGAAGGGTAATTGCTCTGGGAATTGAAGGCAGGGAGGGGAAAGTGGTTTGCAGCCCCCTTCCCCAACCTGACCTGCTTTGGGAGGTAGGCCCCATGAGGAGCCCCCATCAGGGTGGAATTTTCTGGCCAGGCAGCAGGAGTGGACTGGGCACACTAATATCACTGCCCCCACACATACTCCTTTCTTCTCTGGTTATGTAGCTGGCTCTGGGCTGGGGGTGGGGAGCAGAAAAGGTGCTTCAGGGCCTCTTACTAGTTTGGCCACAGCTAAGCTTAGGGTTTGACTGGACAGCCTTGCATTCAAGTCTTGCCTCGGACAAACTGACCGTGTGTCCTTGGGCAATTTGCGTCTTCCCTCACTGCTCCAGGCAACTTTAGAAGGCCAGAGGGTGCCAGCCTGAGTTGGCACAGGCCACCATGGGTGGAGGTGGCTTATGTGCTGGCAGGCCAATAACTTGGTTCATCCCAGAGAGTTAATTCATCATGGATGGGCTAGGCTCAGCCATCCAACAGTGACCTCCTAAAATCCAGAGGGCTGAGATGGCCAGAAACCTGTGGGCAGGCAGAGATTCAGGCCAAGAAGTCTTTATGGGGTCAGGAAACAGGCATGTAGGCAGTGCAGGAGAGCCAGTCAGTAAGCATTTATTAAGCACCTGCTGTGTGTCAGGCACTGTGCTTAGTACTGGGATGTAAAGAAAGGGAAAAGATGATCTTGCCCTTGGGGAGCTCCCAATCTAAGTGGAGAGACAACACGTACAAATAAGATAGAGACAGGGTTAGTTGGAGGTCATCAACAGAGGGATACACTGGCATTAAGGGGGTCCAGGAGAGGATCCTGAAGAGGGCGGAATTTTAGCTGGGGTTTGAGGGAAGCCAAGAAGTGAATGAGAAGGGTGAACATTGGCAGGCAAGAGCCATAGCTAGAGAAAACACTCAGTGTTGGGAGATGGTGGGTCATGTGTGAGGAACAGCCAGGAGGCCAGGGTCATTTTTCTGGCTGAATGTGCTCCCCACAGCTCTGGTGTCTTTGTGTCAGATGCCGGTGTTCCCCAATGTCCCTCGATCTTCGGTGCATTAGCGGCTAAGAGTGAGGTCTGCCTCGTCAGTCGGGGTGTGGGGACGGAGGATGGACGAGAACCTGGAAAAAAGGATTCTAGTTATTAATTAGGACAGCATGTTTCTAAGCTCTTTGTCAGGCCTTTCTTAACTCGAAATCATAATGATCAAAAAGCACTTGTTAAATGCCTAATCGTGAGTGAAAGAGATGCTGGAAGAGATATATGCACCAGACTGCCTACTTGAAATGCCTTCCCTCAGGGGGCTTACAGTCTGACAGATGACTGATGTGAATGGATAAGAAGTACAGTGATAGGGGCAGCTAGGTGGCGTAGTTGATTAGAGCTCTGGTCTTGGAGTCAGGAGGACCTGAGTTCAAATCCCAGCCTCAGACACTTGACACTTACTAGCTGTGTGACCTTGGGCAAGTCACAAACACAAAAAAAAAAGAGGAGGTCTAGAAGTACAGTGATAGTCATGGTGACTGATCCTGGGACTTCTTTGGTCTAGGGAACTCCCAGATGAGGACATGCCCTCTACCAGTGCATGTTGGTCCCTGTAGTCTTAGAGAGTTATGCGGGGTATTGAGAGGTGATACAGATCGCCCAAGGTTACACAATTGGTATGTGTCCTGGGCGGGCGAGACTCAAACCCGGTCCATCCTGCCTCTCAGTCAGTCCCCTACCCACTCGCCCCAGGCTGCCTTAAGAAATAGAGAGAACAAAATAAAGTTGTTGAACTTGGACCCAGGGAATGTAGAGAGTACACAGGACCCACGGGAGGAAGGGGAGCGTGTGGTTAGGAATGAGAGCTGGACACCAGGTGTAGGCCCTGCCCCTAATGCAGGAGGAGGCTGCTCGGGGCTGATATTTCCAACATGGCTTCTTGGGGGGCTGGAGTAAAAACAGTGAGTGTTCATAACCATCGACCAAGTAACCAGTAAAGGGACAAGGACTCTCAGCAAGGCCTAGAGCCGAGGGAACCAAGAAGCAAAGCCACGGGCATGCCTTGATCTGGTCTGCCCCGGGCAGCTCAGAGTTCTGCCACCTCTGCTTCTAGTTGTGGTCAGTGTGTAGACAGGCCTTGTTCCGCTGATAAACTCAGCATCCCCTCACATGGGGCTGGCCGTCTGTTGTGGGGGGGTGTCATATTTGGTGTTTTTATTTTGGGGTGTGGTCTTTGAGCCAGATGACCTGACCTGGAGGCGTACTAGCTGTGTGACCGTAAGCCAGTGGGCCACAGGTGCTTCATTAAGGCTCTCAGCAAGTGTGGAGGGGGTGGTGGTCCACACTTGAAAAAGGGATTTTCTCCATGCAGTTGACATCCCAGGTCTGGACAGAAAAAAATACTAGGTTCCATTAGCATCCTCTAATTTATTAAGCCATTCTCCAACTGTTGGACATGGGGTTGTTTCCAAATTTTGCTATTACGAATAGAGCTGTTGTGAATAATTTTTGTGCTTCTGGCTCTTTTTTTCCCTTTCGTGATTTTTTGGGATAGAATCTTAGCGATAGAGCTTCAGGATCAAAAGGCATATTTTTTAATCACTGCACAGTATTCTCCAAAATGTGTACACCACAGTACAGCCACACCAGCACTGTATGGGGGGCAAGGTGTGGGCCTCGGGGAATAACCAGATTCTTTGAAGGGGATCAACTTGTCTGGCCGGTTATCATAGGATGTTTCAGGCACCCTCCTCCATAAATCCACACACTCACGTATCTTCACACACCCTCACACACCTACCCTCACACGTATATTCACAAACACACATGCATACACACTCACATATCCTCACACACACATACTCACACATACATTCACACACACACACACACACACTCTCTCTCACATATCCTCTCTCACACACACACACACACACACACACACACACACACACACACACACACCCTAAAGGAAGGCCAAGTGACTTTTAGACAGCCGAGAGACAAGAGCTGAGCCACCAGGTGAGTGCTTGCAGTAATTCAGAGGTGAACTCCTTCTCTTATTCCATAGGACAAGGCAGAATTTGATGACAGAATTTCTTACTTCAAAGCCTACCTGGAGACCAGAGGAGCTGCACTGAGCCAGACCACAGAGTTTCTTCCATTTTATGCCCTTCCCTTTGTTCCCAACCCCACGGTGCATCCTTCCTTTAAGGAACTCTTCCAGGTAAGAGCCATCCTTTTTTCCCCCCACTTTTTAAAATTAATTTATTTTGCTTCATCAATAATCACTTCCATAAGCCTTTGAATTTAAAATTTTTCTCCCCCTTCCTCCCCCCTTCCCTCCCCAAGATGGCACGCAATCTGCACATATAGATCACATGTACATATACATTCCTATTAAACATATTTTCACATTAGTGATGTTGTAGGTAAGAATTAGAACCAATGGGTGGAATCACAAGAAAGAGGAAACAAAACACAACAGAAGAAAAAAATAGCAAATAGTAACTAGCTTCGATCTGCATTCAAACTCCACGGTTCTTTCTCTGGATGTGGATAGCATTTTCTATCATGAGGCCTTTGGAGATGTCTTAGATCCTTGTATTACTGAGAAGGGTTAAGTGTATCACTATCAGTCATTGCACAACGTGGCTGTTGCTGTGTACAACGTTCTCCCGGTTCTGGGTAAGAGCCACCCTTTGCCTGTCACTGTGGTTTTACTCTGAAAGTTGGTGGGTTTGAGGGGAAGATGGGAAAATGTTCAATTTCATTACATTAGATTAAAGAAGAAGGAGCCAGATGTGGCTGGCCAATGTGAGAAACTTCATTAATGTGTTCACTGGGAATGAGGCTGAGGCGCTGGATGACAGTGAGGATCCCAGGACTGTAGCACAACAGTAATGATGCATAATTGTGGGCTGTAGGTCATATAGATTTTCGTTTTTTATTACGGTTCTCTGTTGCCTTCTGTTGGATTTCTTCATTGCCTACTGCTGTGTTTCAGGCAGTTTGCCTGTGGCTGTTAATGTTACTATTTCCTTGGCGTACGGTTTTCAATATAGCTTTATTATACGTAACATGATTTGTCTAATAAAGTGGATCTCTGACCCACTCCGTTAGGAGGCCCCACTAATTCTCATCCTGGGATGCCTTTGAAGTAGCCTCACAATTTAAAAAATTATTTTATTCTGAACTTAAAACACCAAAAAGACAAAGCATTTCCATAAACGCAACAGAAAACAAAGCATTTTATGGGAAGCCGTGGATCTCTATTTCACACCATTTTTTAAAAAAAGCATATAATAAAAAGTTACTCTTTAAATAGTGATTTTCAAAACTGTCCTTTTCTGTGCTTCCTTCTGAACTTCCTTCTGTTATTTTCTATGCATATGAAAAAACCGCTTCAATGACCCTCTTGGAAAACTCTCCTCTTCTCCAAGCCCTGCCTACCATTAACCCAGAGAAAGAAACAAACGAGCACAGTCGAACAGAACAAATTCACAGAGCGGCCATTCCCAAGATGCACATCTTTGCACCTTTTGTCCATCCCCTCTCTGTCAGCAGTGGGGAGCATCCTTCATCCCAGGTCCTTTGGAGACATGCTGGGTCCTTGCATTGATCAGAGTTCTTGAGGCTTTCAAAGTTATTTTCTTTCAGTGATATTGCTCTTGTACAAATTGTTCTCCTGGTTCTGCTCACTTCACTCTGTGTCGATTAATACTGCATAGAGCTCTCTGAAATCATCTTTTTGTTTTTTTCATTTCTTAGAGCTCAGTAATATTCCATTACCTTTATATGCTGCAATTTGTTCAGCCATTCCCCAGCTGTCCGTGAGACAATCTAAGGCATCCTGCTTAGAATCTACCCTCCAGTTCTTATTCAGCCCTGTTCTTTTCATCAAAAATGCTTGAAAGTCCTTCATTCCATTATAGATCCATTCCCCCCCTCGCTTTAGGGTTGTGCTCAGGTTTGTAGTATCTTGGTTATAAGCCTATATCTTTTTTGCCTTTTGGAATAATATATTCCAAGATCTCTTCTCATTGACAGGAGAAGCTGCCAGGACTTATGTCATTCTGACTATAGTTCCTTGGTACTTGAACTTCTCCCCTCTAAAGGTTTGCAGTGTTTTTTCTTTGATGTGGGAACTCTGAATTTTGCTGTGACACTCTTGACTTTTCCCTTTGGAGTTCCTTTCAGGAGGTGATCAGTGTATTTTGTCTTCACTTTGCCCTCTGGTCCTAATAGATTTGCACAGTTTTCACTTATGATTTCTTGAAATGTAGTATCCCGGCTTTTTTTTTTGTAATCGTGATTTTCAGAGAGTCCAGGGGTTATTTAATTATCTCTTTGCTCTGTTTTCCAGGTCATTTGTTTTTGATGCCAAATATCTTAATGTTTTCTCCTATTTTTCCAATCTTTTCATTTTTTTTTTGTTTTTTTAGTGAGGCAATTGGGGTTAAGTGACTTGCCCAGGGTCACACAGCTAGTAAGTGTCAAGTGTTTGGTCTGGGGCTGGATTTGAACTCAAGTCCTCCTGACTTCAGGGCCGGTGCTCTATCCACTGTGCCACCTATCTGCCCCTCATTTTGCTTTAATATATCATGTTTCTTATTCTTTCATGGAGTCATTGATTTTGCTTGATCTATTATAACTTTCATGACATGCTGCTTCTTTTTTTTTTAAATAACATTTTATTTTTTTCCCAATTACATGTAAAGACAATTTTTAATATTCAGTTTTTTAAAATTTTGAGTTCCAAATTTTCTCACTCCCTTCCTCAGCTCCCCCCACAAGAAGGTAAGCAGTTTGGTGTAGGTTACATATGTGTGATCATGTAAAGCATATTTCCATATTAGTCACGTTGTGAAAGAAGAAACAGACCAAAAGAAAAAAACCATCAACAAAATACAGAAAGTGAAAATGCTGGTATATCTGCATTCAGACTCCATCAATTCTTTCTCTGGATATGGACAGCATTTTTCATCTTGAGTCCTTTGGGATTGTCTTGGATCACTGTATTTACTGAGAAGAGCTAAGTCATTCACAGTTGGTTGTTCCAGGATGGAGCTTGGGATCATAATAAAACACCATCTGCATGTCCCTAAAAACAATCTGGCTCGTTCTCTTTCTCCTATTCATTCTTGATCTGAGTTCATTGTTCATTCACACGACCCTCCAAGAACTGTGTTCTGATGGGATGTCCGTCTAGCTGCATGGCGTAGTCTGGACAATGGGCATTCAGGGTAAGCCAAACTCTTGAGGGATTGTGGCCCTCACATAAGAGCGGTCATGTGGTCAGCACACTGTCGTGCTCAGAGGGGAACATCAGGACAGCATGGAGGACTTCCCTCTCTATGGGGAAAGTCTTCACTTTGGACTTTGCACTTGACCTTTCTCCACTTTGTAATGGAACACCTCATTCTACCAAATCAGTTTTTTGTTATCAACAAACAACAAGTTCAGTGGGATCTTATCTCTCTACTTCCTTTAGAATGACAGTAAAGGTGGGGTTGGTCTCATAGGTGGAACTAGCCCGCCCGTTTCCTTGTTGTCTCCCTATCACGCAGGTTCTCGTAAAGATTTTGTAGAAAATAAGGGTTAGTTATGGATATTCTCTTGGCCACTTTTTTTGGCAGTACAATCCAAGATTTCCTCAAGCCTTTGATGTTCTCCTGAGGATCAGTACTCTCCAAACTGTCTCCCTTCCAGCACTGACTTCCTCTGTGCTTGGGGTCACATTCTTGTCTTCCCATCTCCTCCCACTTTCCTCATGTGACATGTGGGCGCTGGGGTCTCAGGGGCCAAATGTGGTGGTTCTGCCATCACTAATGACAGAAGTGACAGTCCGTTACCGGCCGGCCTTTGCAGATCTTTTCCATTTTTTGTCTCTCATCCTCACTCCAGTTTCATCCTGAAGAGTCCATGGGTTGACTTTGCTTGGTTGGGCTCTTCCAAGCTCTCCACAAATTTGGTTTTGGGGGCAGCTGGGTGGCGCAGTGGGTAGAGCACTGGCCCTGGATTCAGGAGGACCTGAGTTCAAATCCGGCCTCAGACACGTAACACTTACTAGCTGTGTGACCCTGGGCAAGTCACTTAACCCCATTGCCTAGCAAAAACAAACAAGAATTTGGCTTTGCCTTCGGTGATGTTGCTCATAATCTTTTGCCATCTTCCTCCACAAAGGTTTGTACTGACACTGCCTTTGACTGCCACATCACTCTTTGGCAAGGAGATGAGGTGTTTACTGGCGAAATCTGTGCTATCAACAGAGGATTATAATGGACATGATTAAACAAGGGCCTGTGCCAGTTAGTTGTCCCAAATGGTAACTAGCAGAAGAGCCGTCCACTGGGCACCTCGCAGCCCCTGCCAGGGTTTTTAAGCTGCCCCTTGTAAGCTTTCACAGCAGTCCAATGCTAGAGACCTTAACCTATTGAATAAAACAACAAGAACAACAACAAATCCTGCCAAAATGGAGCCAGGAGCACAGCTTTTACAAATAAGCATTCTGTCCCCCAGTGTCACAAAGTTGCTGATATTTGTTTAACAAAAGACTCTTAGTCACCCATTTGTATCTTTGAAAAAATCAAAAAGTTCACCCATTTTACCGCCATATTGAATGGAACTCTGATTGGCCGAGTTGACGGCTGGGATGCTTGGCCGGGAAAGTGGCAGCTGGAATGATTCTGGAGAGAGAAACCTGGTTGTTTTTTGAAGAATTCCCTTGTGTTCAATTTAACAAGCATTGATTAAGTATAGAATGGTATATGAGGGGTGTGAGTGTATGCATTGTGGAACAAGCCCTGGGGTCAGGTGATCTCATTCATTTCCCATCCCTTAACCTCTTGGATCCTTGGTTTATTCATCTGTTAAATGGTCTGATGATATCAGGGTTCTGACCTAAGGATAGTAGACTTAAAACTCTTTAATAATTATTTCAATGTGATTGGTTTCCTTTGTAATCCTTGGCATTTTATTTTATGCATTTAAAGCCATGATTCTGAGAAGGGCTCTGTAGGCTTCCTGGCCCCAAAAGGGCCAGTGCTGTCAGACCTAGTGATTGCTAATGGCCCTTTCAGCTCTGACTTCCGTTATTCTATAGCCTGGGATTCTTCAAGAGTAGGGACTGAGCCATCCCCAAGCTTTCTCTCTCTCCCAGTGCCTAGCCGAGGGCTCTAGGCACAGTAGGTACTCAGTGTAGTTATTGGATGACCAAATGAAGGAAGGGGCAGGGGAGAAGGGTTAAATAGTCCCTGCCTTCAAGGAGATTACCATCCAGTCTAGAACTAAGACAAGGCGGCTGGAGTTGTGGTTGGAGAACCGGCTTTGGAGTCCAGAAGACCCAGGTTCGAGTGTTGTCTTATGACACGTTGGCTCTGGGCTGGGAGGCAGCTTGTCTGGCCCCACACTGAGGAAATCACCCTTCCCTCTCCCATGGGGCCATGTTGGATCCCTGGATAATGGTGATTCTTGGTGGGGTGGGAAGGTGGTGTGTGAGATAGATGATACTTGGTGGCAGAAGCTCTACTCATTGGAGAGTTGGTTGGAAGGGAAAGTGTGAATGAGGAAGGCTGACTTGGGAGGGCCCAGTCTAATGGAGATGCGCCACTGCCCTACGTGAAGACCCTCACCAAGCACCTCATCATCTCCGACGAATGCCAGCGGCTGCCAAGTGACAGCAGTCCTCATTCCTTTCCCGAACAAACTGGGGGCCAGGGAAGGGAGTCTCTCTTTAGGAAGTCTCCTAATCATTACGAAGCCACCCACATAGTTCCTGTTCCTTTTTAATGCTGCTTTGATGATGGCAGCCAGGGCCCCCATGCATGCCTAAAATGTTCTTGGCATTTCCGCCCAACAAGATGACTTGATGTACGTGGTTTTAAATTACACAAAATATTCAAATAATGTACTAGGATTCTTCTTTCCCTATCTGTTTATGAAACTGCTATGATAATTTATTTCCCTTCTGAGTATTTATAGGTCTGTATAAATGAATGAGCCAAACTCTCTGGAAGCTGTCAGTGGCCAAACATCACTCCAGGTTGTCTGGGGGCCCCTGAACCCAGATGGCGGGTCAGCTAGATGCTGCTGTACATATTTGGTGAACAAGTACTCACATGTCTATTGCTTTGTTTGCCTTCTAGGATTCCTGGACTCCAGAGTTAAAGATGAGGTTGGAAACGTTCCTGTCGTCGACTCTCAAAGCCAGTAATACCCCAAGGCTTTTCACTCTCTATGTATCCTTCCGACACAAACGTAGAGACCTAAAATAGACGGGCTTTCTTAGACTTTGTTTAAACTGGTGGCTCAGGGCCCCTAAACTGAGCTCTGATATCGTTCGTCTCATTTTGGGAAGGGTGAATGAAACATTTGCCTCCTGCAGGAAGAAGCCAGTCTTCAGAAGCAGGCCTTTAAGCTCAAGTTTCAAACATTAGGCCAGAGGTTGGATTCAAACTCTTTTTTTTTTAATTTAAAACTTTTTTTTGATCCAAACACTAAATTTTACACTTTTAATCCAGGTAGAACCAGAGACAGCCTTAGTCTTAATAGAAAAAACCTTTGGGGAATCCATCTCCTTCTGCAAAACTGGAGGTTGAATTAATTAACTAGGGCTTCCTTCATAGTCTTAGACCTTTTATGGTCATATCCCAAATGTTGTTATCTACCTTCTTTCTTTACCAAAAAGCCAGGACCTGATTTCCGAAGAAGGACATGCCTTCTTCAGGGGTCTGCAGCATTCTTTCTGCATCTCTCTTATGGAGGCTGTGTGGTCCAGCACAATACCAGATTTGGGGTCAGGCTGGGAACCAGCCCTGGCTCAGACACTCACTGGGCTCATATGGCACTTTACTTCTCAGAGACTCAGTTTCCCCAAATGCTGCACTGCTGACCCCACAGGGTTGGGGTAGGGAGCGTGTTGTTTGTAAACCTTCATTCACATGCTATTTAAACATAAACATTTATCATATTATTGTGACTTGATTATAACTCTCTGCTCCTTTCCCAGGATTCCTCAGAGTAGGAGCCTAAAGCTTCCTTTAATAATTATCCTGTGTGATTGATATTATTGGTTGGGAAATAGCTGTCAGCTCTCCATTAGCCAGCTTTGATATTTTGGAGCCCAAATGTTAGACCATGCTGGTCTAACCAGCTGCTCGTTCTTTGTGGTGCCAAACAGTCCCCCATAAAGCTTTTCCTTCAGTGAACTTTGGTTAGCTAACAGGCAGTAAAGGAGGCCCTCCTTCTTTGGGGCCCTAGAGACACCACCTAAAACAGGGGTGTGTAAAGCAAATATTGGAACCCGGATTCTCTAAGAGAACTCATTGATAATAAAAAAAAAAAGACTCTTTTTTCGTTTGAAAATTAACTAGGTTTTGACCCCTGCAGACAGTGACTGAGGAGTTGGTAACTGGCAGGCTATGCATCTGGGGGTTGGCTTTTAGTATTATGTGACCCTGCTGACCCAGTGACACCCACTCTTGCACTATGGGAAGAGGGAGGTGTTTGGAGTGGTCAGAGGGCTCAGTTTCAAATCTGGCTCTCCCACTTATCAGCCGTGTATGCTTAGGCAAGTCACATGACTTCCGCAGGCCTTCATGTCCTCTATAAGATGAGGGAGTTGGCCTCGCTAACCTCAGAAGGCCCTTCTGTCCCAAGATCTGGGATCCCCTCACTCTCGGGATACTTTTCCTGAACTTTTCTCATCTCACAGAAGGAGAATGGGCAGAGCAGCAAAGGTAAGCTATCACTCTGCTCTGTGTGTGTGTGTGTGTGTGTGTGTGTGTGTAACAGGTTTCATGATATGGCTCGTGAAGCATTTGGAACATAGAAATCAACACATACATAGGATTTAATAGTCCTCTTTTCCTTAAAGAACCAATCCTTTCTGTTACCAGAGGCACAGCTTCCTTTCAGCTCAATGAGAATTCCACATGCATAAGAAAAGGCAAACTGTTGTTTCTAATCCAGCCCCCAAGGCCAGTTTTCATGTAGACATGAAAATCAGTTCACAGAGATACATTTGATTTTGTTTGGCGTTCATAGAGATGGAGCTGGAAGGGAGCCCTGGGCGCTAATCCCCAAACTCCCCCGGTGTGGACACTGACACCCTGAGAGGCCAGGGCCCCTGCGGTGGTGAGCAGCCACGTGCTCGCTGCGCCCAGGTTCTCCATCTCCAAATGCAGAGCTCTTGTATGACTTCCAAACTCACATTCCTCAGCCAATGCATAAGGTCATCGGAGATGGTTGAAATTGTTGACCCATTCCTCCATCTGTCTATTCGTTAAATGTTTATTGAGCATCTGCTAGCAACATCTTCCTGTGCATCCTTCAGCAAAATACGATGCATGGACCCTGCCCTGAGAGGGCTTAGGGTAGGGAAGGAGGAGGGGCAGGAGCCCTTGGCACATCTCACGTTAACTCAGCTGTCACACAGTGGAGTCCAGAGGGTGGTGAGGTCCTGGTGGTATCCACATCTTGGGAGCTGCCCTCTGCCAAGGGAGGCAGGTGGGCTGGTCAGTGACCAGAGGAGGGCTCTGCCGCCATGTTTGTTGGTGATTTCTCAGGGCCCATCAGAGGAAGGCATTTGGCAGATCAAGTAACTCTAAGAAAAATGTAACCCAAACCCACCCAGAATAAGGAAGCACGCTCTGTCGCTCTGTGGCTTAACGCGCAGCGCGAAGGAGGCTCTGCCGCCTCCACAGGAAAGCGTGGGTTTGGGGCATGGCCTGGACCAGGCCTCGTAGGCTGAGATCTTGTTTCAGTGACTTTACAGAAAGTATGTTGTTAAGAAAGCCCCGTGGCCCGTACAGGAGTGAGAGACGCCATGGCCATGGGCCTCTTTGTCTGGGCCACACAAACAGGGCCTCGCCATGGTGGTCGTGAAGGTCTGCAGCAGGAATCGGTGTTTGTACCAAACTGAACAGTCGTCCCCATTTGGAAGATGTTTCAGTTATCATTCTTGTTGGGAAATTGCAGTCGACCTTTAGGAGGCCTTAGGGGCAAAACCCCGGTTCTGGTGGCCAGGAGAGTGGCTACATTAACAAGAATGTCCACTGTCCTAGCTTTGCGGGGTTTTGTCCTTTGAAAAGTGAGATGAACACAGATCCCACTTGCCTCTGTCCCCCAATGCTAGGGTAAAGCAAGGCCCAAAATACTTTTAAAAGAAAATTTGGACCTTTTAGACTTAGATTTCTTGGCATTTGGGGCATTTTTCAAAGAAGGTCAGGATTAAGAGTTCCATTTTTACCTCTGAAGGATTTGACAAAGTGTCTTTTTTTTTTTTACAACCATGGGCACAAGTAGGGACCACCTAGAGGAGACACCCCGGGGCCATTGCCCCACCTTTAGGGGGTCCAGGACAGGCCTATTCTGCCTGGCCTTTAAGGGAGCCAGATAATGGGAAGGCTGTCATTGCCTTGGATCTAACCAGGTATGCTTGGTAGGGAGAGTCAGGGGATGGTTTGTGCGGGAGAATGAATGGAGCAGGTACCCAGAAGAGACTGTTGAGTGTGGGAGACACCCCCACGGTTTAGTCCTGCATCTCCTCCTGTCCTCTTTGTGGGATGCAGATGTTTCCTTCGGGCAGCTGTGCGGTCCATTGTTGTGATTTGTGCTCAGGTCCAGCCTCATGCTGCCCATCTGAGCAGTACCACGCAGGCTCTCTCCCCAGATCCCTCCCTGGAGGAGGGCGGCCAAGCCTGGGCCTGAGGAAGATGTGCCTCCCGGTGCTGTCCTCCAGGGCAGGAAGCAGCAGGAGGGCCCAGCAAGGCTGGGGAGTTGCTGTTCTTCATTGAGGTGTGGCTATGTGCCAGCTCCCCATCGGGGGCTGGGTGGCCCAGGAGTCCCGCCCCCTCTTTAAGGTAGCTTTTCCCCAGTTTGGTGGGTGATAAGGCTGTAGGCCATAGGCTCTGGATCTTGACTCAGATAGGGTCAGTGAGGATCCTGAGAGCAGATGAGAAACAAGCTAGTGTGCCCTGGGCCAGCAGGCCTTGAAAGGCTATTTCACGAACTGAAAAACCAAGAGAGCTTCGCACAACTGAAAGGCTAATCAGGATTGGCGTGGACCATCCAGATCGAGGCCAGAGGCGCAGTTTGGTGGTGATCACGCCTGCCAGTGGACATCAGCATGTCCAAACAGAACCCGCCACTCTCCAGGAGGTCCTTGTTCCTATTGAGGGCACCGCCTGGCTCTCATACCGCCGGTCATCCTCAACTCCTCACTCGTGTTCTCCCCAAATCCTGTGATCTCTGCATCCTGTCTCTTCTTCATGCTGAGCCCAGATCTGCATTACCTCTCACATAGACTATGGCAGCAGCCTCCTGATTGGTCTCCCTGCCTTGAATCCCTCCCCTCTTCAGCCCCTAGGCCACTCAGCTGCCAAAGCAGCATTCGGAAAGCACTGGTCTGACCATGTCACTCACTCCCTGTTTAATGAACTCCAGGGGCTCCCTAGTACGTACTCTGGTGTCAGGCAGAAACTCCTCTTTGCACTCGGGCCCCAGCCTAGCGTGCCAGGCTTCTGACACACATACACACACACACACACACACACACACACACACACACGGCATTCCATGTCTTTCCCTGGCCCTGCAGAACTCAGAATCTTTCTCCACAGAATCTTTCCTGCTTCCCCCAGCTACCACCCCCCATCTTCCCCACGCCGCCGCTGTGATCCCCTCCTCTCTCTTGTAGGCGCCATACCTTGGCTAGACTGTTTCTTTGAAGACAGGGACCGTTTCACTTGGGTTTTTGTCCCTGGTGCTCATCAGAAGGCCTGCTACATCATAGAGTGTGAAGGCAGGTCGGGTCAATCTGCGACCAGGCATTTATTAAGTGCTTCCTGTGTGCCTGGCCCATGGAGTGTCCTGGGGGTGACCAGGACCAGGCCTGTTCACGTCCAGAGCTGGTGCTTGTGCCTGAGCCTTAGGTGCCCAGTTTTCTTTCTAAAAAATAGCCCCGAGGCTCAGGCAGTGGAGGGGAGGGCCTGTGGAAGCCTTCCCAGCTCACCATCTCTGGGTTTCCCAGTTAATCAGTTGAGTCGACGCAGCCCGCAGGGTTTGAGGTTTCATAATGGAACAGCCCATGGCGGGGCACCTCCACCTTCACGGCACCCCCCTTTCCCTGATGTCCTAGCTCTGCCACGCGGCGCGGCCTGCAGGGCTGAGAGGGGAAGGTGACCCTTTGTAAGGGTCTTGCATGCTGTGGGGGACCTGAGGACGGGGAGCAGGTGGCCTTGGTCCTGAGCTCTTTGTTTCCTGGTGCTGCTTCCTCCCTTGCTCTGTACTTCAGTGGTTCTTGTTCATTTGTTTGATTCTCCCTGAGCTGCCACAGGATCTCTGGGGCACCAACTCCCTGGGCCGGCCCTGAGCCCACAACCTTTGCAAAGGCCAGGCGGAGTGATCTTGAGGGTCAGAAGGAGATGGACCGTGCGGCAGGCAGGGTCCAAGAGTGGAGAATGAATGGGGGCCCTTGCTGGCATAGATCCCGGGACGTCAGGCAGGCCAGGATTTGCAGGTCCCCAGCCTGGGTGGAATTGCATGATCGAGTGAGAGCAGGTGCACTGTGTCCATCCTGTGATGAGGGGGTGGCCTGGGGAAGTGCTGGAGGGCCTTTGTCATTGGAGGTGGGATTTGAGGTTCTTCCATTGTTGGAGAGGTGTGTGGGCAGGCTGGCAGACGCGTCTGCCCCCGGGCTCAGTCATCCCACTGGCTGGGGCTAAGCCCTCCAAGCCTGATCTACTGGCGCAGGAGGGCTTTGTGACATGCCCTGACAGAGGACACCAAAGGAATTGTTTGGGTTGGTCATACTGGGCAGTGTGCTGCTCTGCCAGCTAATCCCACGTGATCTAGGGCCTGGGTACCAAGATCCCCATTGTCCAATAGGAGGCTCTCATCTGGGAGGGGCGAGGGGCAAGGCTGTGGAGTGCGGCTGCCCATCTGGGGACAGGCTGGGGCACTGTGAGAACTTGAGTGGGACAGGTTTGACCAGTCGGGGAGAGCTGTCTCTGGAGCCCTCTGCTGGTGAATGGCAGCATTGCTGGCGATCTTACTGGCTGTGGCCAGTGGTTAGGGGGGTGCCTGCCCAGGAGTGTGTGGGGTGCAGCAGAAAGGGAAGGTGAAGACTGAGCTTTGTCTGGGGCAGGGGAGCACTGTTGTCTCGGGGGGTTCTGCAGAAAGCAGGGGAACCGAAGTGCAGGGAATTCTGTGAAGCTGATGCTGTCTCCCATCAAGCTCAGGGCTTCTTGTGTTGGAGGTTGGTGGGCCCAGCCCTGGACTGGCTATCATTGATACCCCCCAGAGTCATGGGCGGTCCCTGTTGAGGGCAGGCCGCCTAGCTGGACAGAAGTGGCAGAAAAGCACAGACCACATCGTGCCCTCTTCCTGCCCTCATACTCTGAGACACTCCCTGGAACTTTCAAGTTGAAACGAGAAATGAAAAGGTATTTTATATAAAGAAAATAGTAGTACAGTCTGTTTTCTATTTTTTTTTCCTTTTTTTTTTTTGGTTAGGCAGTGGGGTTAAGTGACTTGCCCAGGGTCACACAACTAGTAAGTGTTATGTGTCTGAGGTCGGATTTGAACTCAGGTCCTCCTGATTCCAGGGCCAGTGCTCTATCTACTACGTGACCTAGCTGCCCTGTTTTCTAATTTTAAAGGTGTTTTTTAGTATGATTATTGTTTGGTCTGAATCTGTGTTTTCATTGGCCTCCCAGTGTGGAAATTCCTTCTGAGA